ACTGTGTGTGGTGGTGTAATTCCCCCTGTGGGCTGGGTCACTGGGTCACAAGTCTACATTTTCTCATCTCTTTTCTTGGGCTCCACTGGTGTCTCTCCTTCTATCAATGCCATTGAGTGGTCGGTGGGCTGCCTATAAGGTGGTGGTGGTTCCTGCTGTGGGAGCAAGTTGCCCTTGCAGTGGCAGAAGCTGTGGCAGTGCTTGTGGTGGACCACTCATGCAGTATTAGTGTCTGTAGCAGTGGTAGGGGGCTGCCTGGTCATACTTTCTCATTTCTTTCCATGTGTCATAATTCTTATTCCAAAACTGGACATTTTATTTTCTATTTTCTTTTTCTTTTTTCTTTTTGGTGGCGGGCTGGTCTGGGGATCTGAACCCTTGACCTTTGTATTACAACACTGCATTTTGACCAACTGAGCTAACCAGCCAGCCCCAGAAAACTGGACATTTTAAATATGAAAGTGTGGAAACTGTACAAATCAGATTTTTCCCTCTCTTTAGAGCCTGTTGATGTTGCTGCTTGTTATACTAGTTGTTATCTGTTTAGTAATATCCAAACTAATTCTGTAAAGTCCGTATTATTTGTCGTCTCTCCTTGGTTAGCAGAGGGCTGCTAATGATTAGACAGATTTTCTTAAATTTTTAGAACGATAAGTCTCCCAGTCTTTGTCAGAGTGTGTGTGAGCACATCTTCGGCACTGAGGCAGGCAGTTGACAAACTCTACCTTAGTCTTCACTTCCTGATTGTGCAAACCCTCAAGGGCAGCTGGAGACAAGATTTTAGAGTCTTCTCAGGTCTTTCCTGTGCACTCTCCTATGTATGTACATGAAGTCTAGATTCCCCAATATATGTTGGAGCTTTTCAAACCCTTATTGATATTTCATTCTCCAGTTTTTCCTTTTAAGCTTTTAGGTTAGTCTATTGTTTATATCAACTATAACCCACTTTCTCAGGCAGTTATGAAGTCAAATAATTGCCTGTAACTATTTTCAACAAACATTCCAGGGAAAAGGCTTTTTTGCAGTGGGTGAGTTCTGATTCATGTAAAATAAAGATAGCCTTGCATATGTGGTCTTCCAGGAAACCACCAGAAAGGTCAAATAATGACTATGCTCTAGGAATGGGGCTTTGAAGAAGCTCTAATGCCATTCAATGGTTGCCAAGCTATTGGTTTTCACCATGATTGTGGCTATTGAATTTCAAGGCTGCCACTGAGCTAAAAATGGGAATGAGATTAGGGAAAGTCAAAACACCAAAAAGCTCAAGGTTTTTAACAAGATTCAACTGTTTTTCTTTCTGCAAGTCTTTGCTTAATTTCGAGTTCTAAAAAAGTTGCGTCTGACCATTTTTGTCAGTTTTTTCTTTACCTTTATGAAGGAGAGAATTTTCAGTGATTCTTACTCTGCCAATTTCTGCTAACATTATTGTGTTTTATATTTTAATGTCTGCTTTTTTTTTTTAACTCATGGACTTCCTATTGATTTTCTTTCAAATCTACCTATTCTTTCAATTCTGCCTATTATGTTTTATAATTTCTTGTTTTTTTTTTCCTTTTTTTTTTGTCTTTTTTCGTGTCCGGCAACGGATCGCAACCCTCAGTNAGATAGCGTTGAAGCTTGAGTTTCCTGTCCCTCTGAGCATCCTTGCACCCTGAGCTGGATGTATTTCAGTAGATTTGATTTCAGTTGGAAATCCAAGTGGGAAAAAAACCATCCTCTTGAGGAAGTTCTAGATGAGGAGACATCCCAGTCTCCAATAGGATACCTAGGGCAGCCAGGAGAGTCTGACACCTGCACTGCAGGTGCGTGGGGAAGACTGAGCAGGAGGAGCAGGAACGACCCCATCTGCCTCATGGCTCAATTTGTTCTTTATGCTGGGCAGGAGGGATACAGCCAAAAACCTCTCTCACTTTCCCCTGGCCTTATCTTAGAGAAAAATCTCAAGTGCTTCATTACCCACCCCGTCCCCAGGACCACAGACACTCATTTGCAGGTTGGAGTGGTCTGTTGCAGTGACACAGTGACACCAGATAATTTTAGATAAACCCCAGGAACACAGCTGTATCCGAGTGGTGACTATGAACCAGGAGCCCTGACCTGAAGTTGTGCAAAGCTGACTTTCAGACTGCACAAGATTTTGATTCTTAGTCACCCCTATTGGATTCTAAGTAGTGATCACAGGGGAATTGAATTGGTGACATCCCTAGCACGTTGCCATTCCTTGTAACTTGCGAAGAATATTAGTTCTTCTCAAAATATGGAGGAAGACCTTATGTCTGGAAGGCAGTGGGTGGTCAGGAATCTCTTAGCTCATGGACCTGCAAGGCTGTCTTTATCCAAGGATTTTAGTACTAGCTAAAGGCTCCTAAGTTTCCTAAGAATGCATGCTCAAAAGTCCTAAAGATACTGAGGGGACCCTTTGGAAGATAGCGTTGAAGCTTGAGTTTCCTGTCCCTCTGAGCATCCTTGCACCCTGAGCTGGATGTATTTCAGTAGATTTGATTTCAGTTGGAAATCCAAGTGGGAAAAAACCATCCTCTTGAAGAAGTTCTAGATGAGGAGACATCCCAGTCTCCAATAGGATACCTAGGGCAGCCAGGAGAGTCTGACACCTGCACTGCAGGTGCGTGGGGAAGACTGAGCAGGAGGAGCAGGAACGACCCCATCTGCCTCATGGCTCAATTTGTTCTTTATGCTGGGCAGGAGGGATACAGCCAAAAACCTCTCTCACTTTCCCCTGGCCTTATCTTAGAGAAAAATCTCAAGTGCTTCATTAAGGGTTAATGAGGTACAGGACGAGGGCAGTCACCTTACAAAGTAGCTAGAAGGATTTGTTCTCCATAAGATACATCAGGTAAAGGTTGCTTGCCAAAGTGCAAACCACATGTTCACATGCTATTTATTTTCATTAATATTGGATTTCTTCTGTTGGCAAGAATATCTGCCTCTGTGACTAAGAGAAATCATCAGCTTCTAAAGCTGTATCGAGAGGCCCCAAGCCCAGCAGCCACCCAGGAGGAGGACAGGATCCTTGCCAGAGGTCCCAGCAGAAGTACGTTTCATAATGGGAGTTCTAAATGCGATCATCACCAAACCTCCATGCTCAGAAACAGACGCGAGTGCAGGAGCCAGAGGACCTTCAGAAGCCAGTTAAGATCATCTGGGACAAATCTTCCCTAGTCTACCTGAGGCTGTTCACAGCCTGCTGTCTTGGCTGTAGCTCAGTAGATGTATTTTGTGGTCCCCCCGTATGATCACCTCGTATGATCACCTCAGGCCTAGGCTTGGGGGATTCAAGATCTCATGATCCTCTTTTACTCCATTTCCCTCCTATTTTATTATCAAGCCAGTTGCCTAGCCCCTGGTGAGGAGTTCCTTTCATATTAGAGATACGTGCAGGCCCTGAAGTCCCTGGGCAGGCATCACCGGGTGTGCCTTACCATTCTGCATTGGGTCCTGATTGGAGGTCTATAGACTCTTGGGGAAAGGAGGAAATCCCCAAAGAAGGAAATTACAGGTGATAGATTCTGACTTTGCCGTGAAGGCAGGAAGTAAAGGAAACTCCATGGTTGTTCACATCAACATTCAGCTGTATGTTTCTTCATCCCCAAGGTTGTCATTTGGAGTTAATATAAGCCTCAGAGGAAGAACTATGCACAATTTTTAATTTAGTGCTCTGTGTTGGGGCTGAAGCCTGTAGACCAGGACCATAGTGGCAGGTGGCCACTTCTGATCATGCACAGACAGGAGGTACCTCTCTCAAAAGCTCAGATCCCAGGATGGGTTTAGAGCCTCAGAATGCACCGAAGGGTAAGGATGGGATCTGCCACACCCCTTCTCCAATGCTATGTTGCCCTCTGCCAGAGAGTCCCCAAGCAGGGCCTTGTCCGGGAGGATGTCAGGTAGATGCAAGGTGCTTCAGAAAGTGGCAAAGATGCCTGGTTTTCACAGGACTCTAGGACACAGACTAAGTCCTCAGGAAGTAGCTCTGGTGCTTAGAAATGTTCTCTTCCCCACTTGATTTTGCACCCCCAAATTAGCTTCTTGGAAGAGACTAGAACTACCATTTGTCAGGCATTTAGAATGTCCCAACTCCTGTGCTGGGTATCGACATACGGTTCTTCAGTTCATCCTCACAGCCCTCAAGGTGAGTGTTACTGTTCCCTTTTACCAGCGAGGAAAGGGAGGTTGGTAGCATTCAGTCCTCGCAGAAGCTTTCACAGAGTCACACAGTGTACCTGATCTCCAGCTTGCGAAGGTCATTCACTCGTGCAGTCCTCTGGCTTCCCTTAGAAGGAGTGGCCTGAGAGAGCAAGACTGAAGCCTCATTGCCTTTCCGTCCTGGTCCCAGATGTTACACACAGTCATTTCTGTCATGTTCTGTTCATCAGAAGTATGTCGCTAAGTCCAGCCCATGCTTGGGAAGAGAGGAGTGTAAAAGAATGTGTGGACACATTTTAAAACCACTGTAATCACTGTTGCCCAGTTGTACTGAAGCCACCCCTGAGTGTGCGGGTGAACTGTCAGCCGCATTTTTGGTCCAGGCTCCAGGGCAGAGAGTTCTTTAAGGGCAGGGACCACATATCAGACACTATTGCAGCCATAGAACCAAACTCATGGTCTGGCTCATGGTAGCTATTCAATAAATGTTTGAGACATAAAGCAATTAATTAACAAATTGAGAGTATGAAACAGGCGGATTCTATTAATTATGCTAATAATGGGGTCTAATGACGCATAGATAAACCTACATAGGTTCATCCACTAACTAGTTCGATGATCTCATGCAAGTTATTTTCATTAGAAGGCCTCTAAGTTTAGAAAGAGGATCTCTACAGTCCCTTTGAGCTCTAACAAGCACTGATAAATAGAAAATTATTACAAAAAGGCTTTGCAGCCTGTGCCAACAGCACAAATGCAGAGAATCTCCCTTGCAGTGGAGCCCTTGCTTCCTCACCAAGGTTTCCTCTTCTCTTTGCAGATCGCCCTGCTCCCCAACAATGCTGCTGACCTGGGCAAGTATATCACTGGTGACAAGGCGCTGGCCTCAAACGCCTACCTGCCAGGACCTCCTGGCCTGCCTGGGGGCCAAGGCCCACCCGGTGAGTGTGGAGGAGGGCACAGGAGGGTGATGGAGTCGCCAGCAAAGGTGGGCCAAGAGCTCACGGTTAGTGGGGGTGGATGGTGTTCTCTGGCTCCCATCAAGGAGACCCTAAGCAGAGTCCAGGGAGCTGCCACATGCCTGGGTGGGAAGAGGCCATGGCGAAATAGGCCCTCCAGCCTGAAACCCTCACAATCAATTGCAATTTGGGAGAAAAAGGTGATTGTCCTGGGTTTGGATAAGATTCCTAAAGATTTAAGATCCTTAAAGATTTTAAGTTACAGAGAAACAAAATGAGAACTACTTTTTAACTTTATTATGGAAAAATTTTAATGTATCCAAAAATGGAATTGTATAGTGGACCCTATGGGCTCATCCCCCAGTTTTAACAATTCATGACCAGCCTGGTTTCCACTATTTCTCAATCTTTCCACCTTCCCTTATTATCTGTTAACATATTTACGTCAATATTTATTGTTATATCTTTGTAAGTCGGTTTTATTGAGATACAAATTCTATTACAGTTTGATGAGTTTTGACAAATGTATACACCCATGTGACCACCACCCTATATCTGTATCAAGATACAGAACATTTCCATCACCCCAGAAAGTTCCCTTGTGCCCATCTGCAGTCATTCCACCTCCCCATCCCCAGCTCAGCAACCACCGACCTGCCTTCTTTCACTACAGTTTTGCCTGTTATAGAACTGCATGTCAGTGGAGTCTTTGTCTGGCTTCTTGCATTCAGTATACTGCTTTGGAGATTCACTCATATTAATTGAAGAAAAATCTCAAATATTATTTCATCAAGAAATATACAATGAGAGCTTAAAAAAATAGTTACAAAATGTTTTATATTTTACTCTGGGTTCCTCCATAGAGAGATCAGTGGATTTTTTTCACACCAGCAAAGGAAATGACATTAATATTAGCAAATGAGTCTAAATCACTGGGTGTCTTATCCCTGGTTAGTTATTTCATCAAGAAATATATAATGAGAGCTTTAAAAAATAGTTACAAAGTGTTTTATATTTTACTCTGGGTTCCTCCATAGAGAGATCAGTGGATTTTTTTCACACCAGTAAAGGAAATGACATTAATATTAGCAAATGAGTCTAAATCACTGGGTGTCTTATCCCTGGTTATCATTGCTTAGCTGTGTGCTGGGTGTTATGAATGACCTCCTAACACTGTAATTGGGAGGACAAGACACATAGAGTGAATACAAATAGGACAAAGCAGTATCCACATGCCCCCAAGTAAGTACCCAGATGCTTCCTGCCATGGAGCTTAAAGAAGGGAGAGATCTCTGTAGCCTGCAGTGATCAGGGGAATTTGGGGTTGATCTGGACGTGGAAGATGGGTAGAATTTGTCCAAACAGGAAGGACATAGGTGGGTTTTAGGTTTGAAAGGTTAGTAAGAACAAAGGCTCAGAGTTCTTTCCAAAGAATTTAGGCAGAGTGAATACAAATAGGACAAAGCAGTATCCACATGCCCCCAAATAAGTACCCAGATGCTTCCTGCCATGGAGCTTAAAGAAGGGAGAGATCACTGTAGCCTGCAGTGGTCAGGGGAATTTGGGGTTGATCTGGATATGGAAGATAGGTAGAATTTGTCCAAACAGGAAGGACATAGGCGGGTTTTAGGTTTGAAAGGTTAGTAAGAACAAAGGCTCAGAGTTCTTTCCAAAGAATTTAGGTGTGTTCTCTCTACATAAGTCTTAATCTCCTAGTTTCCTTCAAACACTGGTGGCCTGGATCTCAGTCTGTACAGAGAATAAGGGCTGGTCCGGGACTTTGGTTCACACTCTTGTTCATTCTCCTGGCCTGAGATACTCTTGGGTATTGGTGGAGTTTTCCCCAGCACATACCTCATGCAGACAGCCATGCATCTTCAGAGAATAAGGGCTGGTCCGGGACTTTGGTTCACACTCTTGTTCATTCCCCTGGCCTGAGATAACTCTTGGGTATTGGTGGAGTTTTCCCCAGCACATACCTCATGCAGACAGCCATGCATCTTCTCCGTAAACTAGAGTCTCTCCTTACAAACTGGTTCCTAGCACAGTATTCCCCACCTGTCCATAAGAGAATGTTTTTTCTTTGTCTCCCTGGAGGAAGTTCATCTCTAGGCCAGTCTCCGTATCATGAGGACAAGGACAGCTGTAGGAACAGGAGCCATTGGCTGCCTTTTTCTTAGTAAATAACTTGTTGACTTTCACCTCTAATTCTGCCATCTGGTTTCTAATGTGGTTTAAGCTGTCCAGTGTCCTTGATGGAGCAGGGAGTGATTGAGGATGAATGAGCCTTTACAATAGATCAAGCACTTGCATGGAGAAATTCCCATCCTGTTTCCTTCTCACTCCTTACTTCGAGTGTTTTCGATGCCCTCCATTGAGATGTATTAGGGCAGCTAGAAAGCTAATACGTTTCTCTCACCCTTAAATAAAATTCCAGTCCTGAAGCCTGTGATGAGTCACAGACTGGAGCTCCAGGACAGGAAGTGACACTGCGTTGGCATCCTTTGTCTTTGGTGGTGAGGAGGTGGCTGCTTCTGTCTGGCTCCCACTGTGATGTCTAAGGTGTGGCCCACCCAAGTCCCACATTTTAAGGGCACTTGACATATGGTGACCTCTGAACTTCACGGATTGTGTAAAGGCAGGGAAGATATTATCTCTGGTCTGTCCTTGGTTCCGTTGGAGATAAAATATTTAGCGATAGGGATCTGCCCCCCTTTCCAGATAAACTCTTTCAGGGTGGACCTGGAAGCAGCGTTGAGAGCAGGGGTGTGAGACATGTTTGGATGGAACATTGACTGCCTTTAACTTTGGCTTCATTATTCTGTGAACTAGAAAAGATTCCCCAAAATATGAAAAGTCTGAAGTCTTTGTTTTGTTTAACAAAGCCTGAAGGTCATTCCATCGATGAAAAAGTAACCATTGTATGCATTGGAAAGAGGTGGCTCTGAGGAGTAAGGATAGCACAGAGATTAGCCCGGTCTCTTCAATGCAGTCATTTAACAAGAAACATTTACTGAGCAGCCTACGATGTATCTGGGACTCTTTGAGAGTGTGCTAACAAATAACACACAACCCCTGCCTTCACAGAGCCGACAATCTAAAACTGGGGTTAAAACTCAATGTCCTTCCACATGCAAAAAAATGAAGTTGGACCCTTACCATACACTATATACAAAAATTAACTCAAAATGGATTCAAGACCTGAAACTATAAACTGCTAGAAGAAAACATGAAATCTTCATGACACTGGATTTATTGATTATTTCTTGGATAGGACCCCAAAAGCACAGGCAGCAAAAGCAAAAATAGACAAATGGAATTCCATCAAACTTAAAAAGTTTTGTGAATCCAAAACAAAACAATCAACAGAGTGAAAGGGCATCCTACAGAATGGGAGAAAGTTATTTGCAAGTCATATATCTGATAAGAGATCAATATCCAGAACATATAAAGACCTCCTATAACTCAACAACAAAAAAATCAAATAATTGGATTAAAAGATGGGCAAGATACTTAAGTAAACATTTTCCCAAAGAAGATACACAAGCAGCCAGCAAGCATATTAAAAGATGCTCAATATTACTTATCATAGAAGAATGCAAACCAAAACTACAATGAGGTATCACCCCACACCCATTAGAATGGCCTTTCTTAAAAAAAGAAAAAAATAAAGTATTGTCAAGGATGTGAAGAAATTGAAGCTCTTGTGCACTGTTGATGGGAATACAAAATGGTGCAGTTGCTACAGAAAACAGTATGGAGGTTCCTCAAAAAATTAAAATTAAAATTACCATATGAGTATGACCCAGCAATCCCGCTTCTGGGTATATATCCAAAAGAATTGGTAACAGGATCTTGAAGAGATATTTGCACATCCATGTTTATATAGCAGCCACTATTTCACAATAGCCAAGAAGTTGAGGCTACCCAAGTGTCCACTGACAGATGGGTGGAAAACAAAATGTGGCATAAACATGCAATGGGACATTACTGAGCCTTAAAAAATAGGAAATTCTGATGCATGCTACAACATGGGTGGACCTTGAGGACATTATGCTGAGAGAAATAAGCCAGTCAAGAGAAGACCGGTGCTGTATGATCACACTCACATGAGGTGTCTAAAACAGTTGAATACATAGAAACAGAAAGTAGCATGGTGGTTACCAGGTGCTAAGCGAGTAAAGGAGAAATGGAGAGTTGTTCAATGGGTACAGAGTTTCAATTTTACAAGATGAAAAAGTTGTAGAAGTCTGTTGCACAACAGTGTGAATGTACTTAACACTACTAAACTGTACATTTAAAAGTGCTTCAGATGGTAAATTTTGTGTTGAGTGCTTTTTACCACAATTTTAATAAAATGCCCTCAAAGTGCCCACTCCCTTTCCCTCATCTCCCTGGCTGATGTTCAGCATCTAATGCAGAGGTGAACATGCTGATGTCTGCACCAAGGTGCTGCCCCACAGTGAACACAGCTTGGCCCCTGGGTAGCCGGCGCAGTATTTCCTGGAGCATTCAGAGTGGCAGACATGCTGTGTCCCATACTGAGGTGGAGATGTGCCACAAGCCCAGCCAATCCAGAGAGGCTGTTTACAACTCTCTGTGTCTGTGGTTTAAGGTAGATGAGACCTAAAGCTCTCTCCCCATCAATCTCCATGATAAGGTGGTATGACCACATTCTCACACACATACAAACAATTGTCAAGCAGACATGAAAATAGTCATATAGCTTGTTGGTGTTTTTTTTATTATTGAATGTAATTGATTATACATATTTGTGGGGTACAAAGTTGAATATCAATACCTATGTACAGTATGTGATGATCAAATCAAAATAAAGAACAATTAGCATATTCATCATTACGAAACATCATTTCTTTGTCTTGAGGACATTAATCTCTCTTCTAGTCATTTGATAACATGGAGTAAATTAATGTTAATTATTAGCTTGTTCTCAAACTCATTACATTTCCAGTGCTATGTTGATTTAAGCCTCCGAAAAGAATTTTAAAGAACAAAAACAAAAAAAGACCTCAACATCTACAGAGACCGGGCATGAGGAGAGCTGGGTGCGAGCAGGAGGGACTGAGGAGAAATGAACCAAAGCAGAAGGCACATGCCCCTGTCTAAAGCAGCAGCCCCTGCATAAAGCTCCAGTCAACTGCACAGTCGCAGAATTGTGCTCCAGGCTTTAGTTCTTTCTGTTTTCAAACAGAAGCCAGGAACCCAGATTTCTATATGAAATCTCCCAATTTAAAAATATTAGGAATATCCAGAGGATAATGGAATGCATAAACAGAATGTACAGAGTGTGTATATGTATGTATAGATGTGTATCAGTGTGCATATATGTACACACATGTTGTGCTATAGATATAGTATTATGGTACACAATAAAGTAAGCAGTTAATTCCCTTATAGGGAAGGGGGTGTTAAGATGTTTTTGGAGATATGTGGTCTGGGGTGATTATATGGGGAAGGAGGCAAAGCAGGAAAGGAGGGAAGTATGGTCTGCACTGGGTCATGGTTTATCCAGGGATGATGGGGGCTGAGAGATGATTAGGAGAGAGGCAGTGGTGGAGGGAAAGTGCCTGAAGAGGAAGACTAGAGTAAGCTCATATGCTACACTCAGGAGTTTTAACTTTATTCTATATGCAAAAGGGAGCCATGGTAGGGCTTTCTCCTCCTCAGACTCCAATTGCACGTATGTTAGATTGTTTGACATTGTCCCACCTCTTTTGGATGCTCTGTTTTACTTTTTATTTTCCTCTTTGTGTTTCATTTTGGATAACTTCTACTGAGTTATCTTTAAGTTCACTGTTCTTTCCTCACCTGTGTCCAGTGTGCTCATAAGCCTATTGCAAATATTTTTCATCTCTAATATTATGTTTTCTATTTCTGTTTGGCTTTTTTTCTCCTCTAATTTCCATCTCTCTGCTGCAGGTCCCCTTCTGTTCAGGCAAGCTTTCTACTTTCCCCCTAGCACCTTTAACATATTAATCATCGCTATTTTAAAGTCCCTGACTGATAACTCTGCTATCTGTGTCCCCTCTGAGTCTGGTTCTGCTGATTGCTCTATTGCTTGACAATGGTTTTTTGTTTGTTTTGCTGTTGCTTTTTTATGTGCCTCAAAATTTTGATCAAATCAAAATTTTTAATTGAATGCTCCAATTTTTTTATTGAATATGTCTTTGTAGAGGGACAGTAGAAACTGAGGTATATAGTGATTACTCCTGGAGATGGGTACCCTCTCCTTCTGTCAGGCAACTAGCATGGGAAGTTGAGTCAATCTAATGAATAATTGAGATTCGTTTGGGTTTTGTTGTTATTATATTTATCTTCGGTGTTCCATAGTCTTCAAATTTTCAAATTCCTCCAAGGGTAGGATACTGTTGCCTTGTGCTCAGTAGGAGTTTAGAGTGTCAATTAGTTTTTCTTGGTGTTTGAACCCCACTCTCAGCTTTCAGCAGCCCCTACACACCTGTGCCACAGACGTATCCTCTGTGGAGATCCTCTCTCCATGCTCTTGCCCTTCCCCCAGTGGTAGGCTACTGTTTCTTATTATTCCGTGCTAGAGTTTGGGGAGTAAGGGTCATTTTCAGTTCTCCTGGTCCAGCTGCAGTCCTAAGCATGGGGTCAGATCTTCTTCCCATGCCCACCCACTCCCAGTGTGTCTATATCTGGGGCAAATCTTGGACAGGAGAACGTTTCCTACGCCTCCCCCAGAAGTAGTGGATATTTGTCTGGGTCCTGCAAGAGAGAGGGTTTGCTGCCCCACCCCAGTGATTTGAGGCATTTGCCCTAAATGGCTGGAAGTAGGAAAGTTACATGGTAAGACATGTTTTCGAAGTATTATTCATATAGGAGTGTGAGGAACGGGTGAGGGGTGATTGGTGGGAGGCAGAAGGACTAGCTACGAGGCCAGAGTTGAAGCAAATATAGGAAGGCCTAACAGATTTTTTTAGTGCTTCCTGTGTCTGAGGTACGATGCCAAGTGGTGTGTGTGTATCTAAAATCTCATTTAACACTCACGATCACCCTGTAAGGCAGATTTTTATTAGTTCAGCTTTAGAGATGAAAAACTAAGGTTCAAATATGAGCGTACTTCAAAAAATTCATGGAAAAAGAATTAGAGAGTATGAGTCTTCCCATGAACTTTTTGAAGTACCTTGTAGCTCAAGTAACTTGTCCAAGATTCCAACCTAGGTCTCTCTGATGCAAAAACCTGTACTTTTAATCACTACCCTGCCGCGATAGCCCCTGCCTGCCATGACAGCCACTACACTGCCATGATCGAGGGTATAGAGAGCAGCAGACAGTTAGATGTTAAAGAGGTGAAATGGTCAGGAACTGGTCACTGATTGGATAAGGAGGATGTATAAGGAGGAAATAGGGAAATTATATATAGGAAGACTCAAGTTTCTGGTTTGACAGGATGGGTGACTGGTAGTCCATGGAAAGAGAGGAAGAAGGGGAAGTCACTTTTGACCTTGTTAGGTTTAAAATGCCTGTGGGACATCCTGATGGAGATATCAGAGGCAAAGGTTAGAATGCAAAGAGGAGAGGCTGCAGGGGCCCTGGACTGTCTCATTAGCCAGAGCCCCTGCCCTTCTCACGGGCTGTGAGCTAATGAGGTGTTCTTTCATTACAGGCTCACCAGGACCAAAGGGGAGCCCAGGCTTCCCTGGTATGCCAGGCCCACCTGGGCAGCCTGGCCCGCGGGGCTCAATGGGGCCAATGGGACCATCTCCTGATCTGTCCCACATTAAGCAAGGCCGGAGGGGCCCTGTGGTCAGTATCTTATCAGAGATCCACTTACTGTTGCTGGGGAAAGCATGTTCTTGCCCCATGCTTTTTCCTTCTGTTAAACCAGATCCTTTTGTCTCATAGGGTCCGCCAGGTGCACCAGGAAGAGATGGTTCTAAGGTAGGTCTCATGAGTGGTCCTTACAAGCCAAAGGAGTCTCACTTTCCACCTGCCGTGTAGCTGTTGGTAAAACTCAGCAAGCAGTCTTTACTCACATGTGGCAAAATTGAGACACAGATTTTTCCCCAAATCTGGGAACAAAATCTGAGCAGTTTTCTTCAAGTATGAAACCAACCCTAAAAACTAAAACAGCCACCAAAACCACTCCTAGGAAAAATGACCCCTATACATTTTAAAGAAGCCTTTGTGTTGGAATAGTCACATGTGCCTTTCTCTTTAACCAGCATTGTGGTGTAGGGGTGTTTTGTGTGTGTCCTCATTTCTTTGGGATGTTTAAGTCAAGAACAGAAGTTTCATTCTGTGCAAGGGGGTGGTTTCACTTTGAGAGCGGCCTGCTGATCTCCTCACAAAGTCAGTGTGAGCTACTTGAGAAAGCTTCTAGAAGTCCGCATGCTGTCTGGAAATATGATCATTCCTCTTATTGGGCCTGGTTTGAAAATATGTGGCCTTGAGGGAAGTGGGAATGAGACACTTGACCGAATCAGTTCTGTCCCAATAAGTGGTCTGTGAATCCAGCTTCAATCTTACATTTGTTTCCTGTAGAAAATATTTGTTGTTTTGTGCAGGGAGATGGTTATGGTGGGTGTTCAGTAGAGACCACCAGGGTGGTATCCATGTGGTCCAGAAAGCTAACCCTGGCCTTTCTGTTTCTAGGGGGAAAGAGGAGCACCTGGGCCCAGGGGTTCTCCAGTAAGTAGCACTATCTTTCCTGCTTCCCCGGTGGGAATGTTCTCAGGGATGCAGCTCTGATGAGCCTATAAGCTGGTCTTAGTAGCAAAAGCCCACCCCTTCTGGCCATCTCTCAGCCCACTGAACAGAACTCTGAGGTTAAGAAGAGCCACAGAAGGTTTTGCTGGTTTAGATTTATTTTTTAGATTTGTTTTCTGTTGTTATTTTTTCTTATCATTGGCTAATCTTTATTTCAAATTGTCTTCTCTTAAGGTTCAAAACCCCAGTATGCTATGAGTCTGTTACCAAGTATATCATAAGACATCTGAAGGACTAGGAAGGACATCTATGGGGTTAATCATAACTTTGAACACTTGAGAATTTAGCCACTGCCACAACCCTAGCTGGTCAGATGACCATCCCCTCCAAAAAATGCAAAGACAAGCAGACTGGGACCTGAGAAGAAGTCAGCTGCATAGATACACAGTGTCTGGGAGATTCAAAGTGAAAATTGGTAGTATCCAAGTGCACAGAAAATTCAAGCAACTCCACTGCTTCTGATGAAGTCAGTATAGAAGTATATGTGGCCACAGAGGGAGAAAGTCTGGGTTCCCATCTCAGTCTCTTAGCTTCTGACCATGACCACATCATTCTGGCCATTCATTTCCTTACCTGTGTAATTCCAGAAGTGGAGTCTGATCTGCCATACCTCAAGTGGTTATTGTGATGGTCAAATGACATCAAAATACTCTACCTCTCAAAGTGCTTTACAGTGAAAGCTGCTGCTTCTAAGATGGTAGCCACAGCAGCAGTGATTGTGGGGCGAAAACAATTTTACTACAAACTTCTAACAGGCCCACAAAATGCATGTTTACACTTTTTTTTTTTTTTTTACTATGCCCCACACAGCACCACATGGAAATGAAGGTTTAACAAATACTATATAATGATAAAGGATGTTCAATAAATAGAAAATTGAGGAAGCTTTTCTTTGGATCTTTCCTGGTCAATGAGGAATTGATGTCTTTACAGCGTTCTCTCAACTTCATTTAGTTTGCAGTTGTAGTCAGCCACCTTATACAAATCTTAATAATTTCATTTTTAAAAGATAACATTTTGAGGGCCGGCCCGGTGGCGCACTGGATAGTGCGCCGCTTGGGAGCGTGCCGGCGCTCCCGCCCGAGGGTTCGGATCCCACATACAGACCGGTTCCCGCTCACTGGCTGAGCGAGGCGCGGGAGCAACACCGAGGGTTGCAATCCCGTTGCCGGTCCCCGGTCCAGTACGGGGGCAACACTGAGGGTTGCGATCCGTTGCCGGACACGGAAAAAGACAAAAGACAAAAAAAAAGATAACATTTTGAGCATTTACTATGTTCTGTGCCCTTTGCATGTGTTAACTCATTTACATCCTCACCTATGACCTCTGTGAAACCCTATGAAGTTGGGACTATCATTATCCCCATTTTACAGATGGGGAAACTGAAACCCAAAGAAATTAAGTAACTTGCCCAAGACCACACAGCTAGCAAGTGGCAGAGCAGGGATTCAAACCCAACAGAACCCCAACCTCTTAACCACTGCTCTATTGCCTTCATTAAGTATCTTCCAGATTACTTTGGGAAGTAACCTAGGAGGGTTATTCTCATCTTCTACCAGGACGACATAGCCTAGGGTTAGGAGGGAGGAAAGGTGAATATGTCACCAAAGCTCATATATGAGATGGAGGAATTAAAGACAATCTTGCCGATCCCTCAGGCTACTGCAACAGTCCTTACGTTTATTCCCTTTGGGTCACAAAGTTATTGAGAAAGTAGTTGCCAGCAAGCAGCGGGACTAGCAAAGCACGGAGCCCTGGGAGGCTGTTGCTGTTGCAAAGGGCTGTATTCTAACTCTGATTCCTCTCCTGTGCACAGGGACCCCCTGGTTCTTTCGACTTCCTGCTGCTTATGCTGGCTGACATCCGCAACGACATCGCTGATCTACAGGAACAGGTGTTTGGGCACCGGACTCACTCTTCAGCGGAAGAGTTCCCTTTACCTCAGGAGTTATCCAGCAACTCAGAAACCATGGACTTGGGCTCTGGAGATGACTCCCCAAGAAGAACTGAGGCAAGAGACTGGGGAGCCCCCACAGACTTTTATCCATAGCACACCCCAACATTTTCAGGCCAAAGGAAGAGAAAAGAGTGTTTTCTCCTGCAGTTAAATCATCTAAAGAAGAAAAAATCACTGGAGACCTAGAAAAGACACATTGTTATTTTCTTTACTCTTTTCTTGCCTTCTCCTTACTCTTCTTCTTCCAAATACTGTTTTCAGGGTCCCCTAGTAGACCTACTAGTGACATGATGGAGTAAGTGACAATGATGGATTTACACACTTTCCATTGAGTCAGCTGGGGTGGTCCATGCTGGGACTTTTCTTTAGCGTCTTATTTTTTTAGGAACCTCTGAGTTAAGTCCTCTCACGTGGTGTCTTAAAATTTGGTAGAATATCAAAATGGAAAAATAACAAGGCGAGCTCTAAGAAAATGTGAGGCTACATCTAAAAATATATAGATATGTGTTCGAAATAGACTAGTACTCCTCTGGTACAAAATTAGGGCTCTTCAATTAAAAAGGGGTGGGGAGGACAACCATGTAGCTTTGTCTTGGTGGGTAATTCTTTTCACTTGTCAATCTAATAGATTTAAATATTCTATCCTCTTAGTCAATTTTGTTTCCCAAATTTGGTTAAAGAAAGGAGAGAATGAAAGAGTGGAGATTAGGGAAGATAGAGAAGAACTACAGTCATATATTTACTCTCATATAAGTTGCCACATTTTAAAATTAAAATACAATGATTAAGGATTCAGGCCACACTTATCTGTAAGAGAAGAAAGTTACTCTGTCTGTTGGAATGGATCCTCTTTTCAAAAGACAGTAAGGTTAAAAAAAGAAAAGACAATAAGGGAATGGAACTCCCCAATTCACATTAGAACAATAGGTTCCTGGCTTGCCAGGATATCTTAAAGCTGTTTGATCAAAAGAGAGGGCCTGCTCTATAAGTCACAGATTTTTTCTTTAAAGGAAGAATGAGTTTTATTCCTCAGTGATAGAAGGAGTAGTTCAATTAGGAAGAATCCATAATCCTGCGCCTGTATACATCAAATAACACAGACTCAGAATACATAAGGCAGAAGGAGGAAAAATGTACTGATAACTATAAAACTTTACAATCAGGGTTATTAAGTCTAAACCCTTCTGTGAGAAACTGATAGATCAAGCAGAGAAAATAAGGATTCAGTAATTTGAAAAACACATCTAACTAACAAGATCTAGTGAATTTATTTATTAGCATTGCCACAATAAATAGAGAATGTACATTATTTTCAGAAAAAGTCCCAGTAAGTACCAAAGAATCAGTGCCCTGCAGGTTATGTTCTCTGACTACAGTGCAATATAATTAGAAGGCAATGCATAAAATAATCAGGAAAATCTCTTACATGAGAAAAATTGTTTTAAATAATTCAAAGAAGAAATCAAATGAAAATTACAAAATATTTAAAACTGCAGTGAAAGACCATATCACAACTCATGGACACAGCTGAATATATGAGTGACATTTATAGGTTTAGGAATATATTAAAAAGCCAGCCAGATTGAAAATTAGTGACCCTTAGAAGTTAAAAAAAAAAAAAAGCAAATTCTAAGGAAGTATGATGTTTGGCAATAATAAAAATTTAATAATTCTATTAAATTAATAGAATGGGAAACAAGAATAAAAATCAATAAATCCAAAGCTAGTTTGTTAAATAAGGGTGGCTGACCCTTAAGAGGTCAGTGAATCAATGAATCAATGTTCAGTGGGGCTCAAGGCTGGAAGGTGGTTGCTGTTTGGGGTTGTTGGCAAAGGAGAGGGGGAACCTTGGGCAGGGACCCCACTAAAGACAAATCGGCAGAGGCAGGTAAGTTTGCTCTCCTTGGATGTCAGAGGTCCTTGTTTGGGGCTGGCCAAGCTTGCCGACATATTGAGAATAGTGCAGTATCGAAAGTTCTTTTGGATGGGAAGAGAAAAACAACAATGGTTTTCCTTGTTTGGCAGAAATTTCCTTCCTCCTGTTCCCATTTTTCCTTAATTTAGTGCAAGTTCCAGTTCTCTCCTAAGCAATGTGGGAAGCCATTCAGAAAGGGGTATACTTCCCAACCTCACACAGACTGTGTTTTCTCAGAGCGCATCTGGGTCCCAGAGGGAAGCGTGTTCCTGACAAGGCGTTCTCTGGGTTCACAGGCATCAGGAGCAAGAGACCAGGAGAATCTGCTCCTTCTTAACATTGTCGGGGGGCCTCTTGTTTCAATGGGCAGCTTATGGGCTTCTTAGGTCCCACTTTCTCTCTGGACACAAAACATGGCTTTTTACCCACTGATACAGGAAATTTCATCTCACATGGAGCTTCACAAATGATCGTTCTCACAGTCACGTTTGTTCCTGTTGAGTTTCCCATTTCCCAGCCTGCATTTCTCTGGGTTCACAGGCATCAGGAGCAAGAGACCAGGAGAATCTGCTCCTTCTTAACATTGTCGGGGGTCCTCTTGTTTCAATGGGCAGCTTATGGGCTTCTTAGGTCCCACTTTCTCTCTGGACACAAAACATGGCTTTTTACCCACTGATACAGGAAATTTCATCTCACATGGAGCTTCACAAATGATCGTTCTCACAGTCACGTTTGTTCCTGTTGAGTTTCCCATTTCCCAGCCTGCAGTGTCCCCTTATATTTCTGATAGCTTTGTGTTTGGCTTTTTCCCCCATCTCCTTCTAGCCTCCATCCTTTAACTCCCCTACCTTGAAAGTTTGTTTAAAGAAAACCACTGTTGTGGTCTTCGTATGCCACTTTTCCATCTTTGTCCTTGAGAACCACAGGAGGGGCTCTGTTGGCAAATTTACAGTGGCAATAGCCTTCCTTCTCTCTTCCTGTAAATGTTAGAAATGCAGGACTCGGGTCAGTGGGTGGCTGGGTGTTTCATCAATACTTTGCTCCACTATTTCTCACTCATGCAAAATCCCCAGTGACAGACCAACACCTTAAAGGTGAAAATGAGCACATTCCCAGTGCTCCTTTTCTAGCATCTTTCTTCTGCCTCAGTCTCTCCAGAATCCGACCTTCATAGCAAGGGGCCACGCCAACCATGGGTTTATGAAGAGATGAGCTGAACAGCTGTTGATTCCCATTCGGAATATATTTAATGTTTGCCTGCTTGAGGGACACAGTACTTAAAGGGTGTGGATGGATGAATGCTTAAAAAAAAAAAAAAACATGTACAAGCTCTGTGAGAGACGATCTGGTTCATCTTTGGCTTTCTCGGAATATATTTAATGTTTGCCTGCTTGAGGGACACAGTACTTAAAGGGTGTGGATGGATGAATGCTTAAAAAAAAAAAAAAAAACATGTACAAGCTCTGTGAGAGACGATCTGGTTCATCTTTGGCTTTCTAAAACATGAGGAATTTTATTACCTTTTATTCTTCTTGCCAATGAACTGTGTTTAGAAATATAGTTTTTATTGTCAAATGTTCATAAAATGCAACCAAACTACATGTTTGGCCATAGGATAGGATAATATATTTAAAGAATGAATTAAAAGTAGTAATACCTGGGATTCATAAGACTCTTCTAGACAGTGTTGTCCAACAAAACACACAATAACCTGTATTTTGTAATCCTAATCTGTTGAACCAGGTCAATTTAGAAAATAATTATTAATCCTCAGATTTTCAAAACTTGGACTACTACAAGGCTATGTATATAATCTATATGCACAAATTATATTTTTCAGAGATAAGACATCATAAAGCATTGTTATTTCTAATGTGTCTTTTGGTTATGAATAGAAAACCAATGCTTCATTGACTGAACAGGAATTCTGCTCAAAACCCAATGAGAAAGCCATTTTTAATTTGCCACAGTTTTACTAAGATACTTCATGTTTTATGAGAAAAAAAAGATTTTTGTTTGCTTCCTCAGCCCATTAGTAGAAATGTTGACTTCAATTTTTTTGCACCCTCCTAACTAGGACTTAGAATAGGACTTCATAAGTTGCCTCTGGTTTTGCAAAGCAATGGGAATAAAAATATGTTGAGTACAGGAGGGCATGCATTTTAGTTTAGGAAAACCTCTCTCCCTTCCCAGTTCCAGAGGGAGAAATTATAAGCTTTACTATTTCAAAGAAGAGTGGGGTACAAAGAGGGGGCTGCCTTTTCTCGCCATGTTAATTCCCAACTCCAGTCACAGGATTGGTTGACTACATGAAGTCTGCTTCTACTGTTTAAACTCAGGTGTGTTCATAGCCCAACAGGTAAATAATAAATGCTCATTGGCGTTGGGGGGAAAAGCGGGAAGTATTGCCCCACTACCAACCAGGTGAAGAGCTCCCTGGTCTGGTCTTGCTCCCTTTCCAAGGTTCATATCTGTGTTGGCCTGTGAGCCCCATTTCCCAGGCATGCAGGGGAAGACCTTGTCCACAACTAGGCATCAAGCATCACCCTGGGTTTTTAGGCATCAATTCCTCCATCATATTTTGGGTGTCCCTCCCTCTCTTCCCCCATCCCAGCCTGTCCCACAGAGACAGCCACAGCAGCCTCATTTTGCAAACTTAACATCTTTCAGATAACGTTTCTGAAAAGGAAAGTTATTTGCAGGAATCTGGGCCAAAAAACTAGTAGAATAGAGCCATCAAAAGTTATTAATAATGAATTCAAGGAAATAGATGAAATTTTTCCTGGCACAGTCAACATGTGTATTTCACCATAAATCAGAAAATGATTTTCCATTTGGAAACCCACACAGTGACCATAATTGTTAAAGCATAAAATCTTGCTTGGACTTTACATGCTGCTTCAATGTTACCGCTTTAGGAAACTCATAGAAAAGGATCCTTTCGCTCATCCCCCAGGGATCTAGCATTCTTTATTAAATTACAAAGCAAGAGCCCTGAGGAATTTCACGTTATCATGAGGTTGTTTTTATTTCCCAGTGACTAATCATATACTACATTAGCTCTGTCATTCATTATTTATAACAGGTCCGTATAACAGTCCGACTTGTACTCAAACAGTTATGGATTTGTACTATGAAGTACTTTTGATGTGATTGTATATGCTTAATAACAAAGTTATTTTTCTTATGTGGCTCTACTGTGTTTTGTTCTGACACCCAGTCCTGTGGAACAAGTCATCTTTTTACCAGATGAATACAAGGAGACAGAGAGGTTCTTTTCTCT